GCGAAAAAAAAAAAAACAAAAAACAAAAAATAGTAAACACCCAACACCCTGAACCCTAAACCCTAGACCCCTAAACCCTGAACCCTTAAGCCCCTAAACCCTAAAACCCAAAGCCCTTCATCCCATCGGAGCCACCCCAAAGCTTAGGCCTGGAAGTCTTGAAGCTGGAGTTGCCGGAGGCAGGGAGCTGGAAGAGCTTGGGAAAACCCACCGTAGAAGCAGGAAACATCCGATGATATCCTATGATAGCCGATAATCTCCTATAATGTCCTAAAATAGCGTAGCCCGAACCTAGAATATCCTATAGTATCTCATAATTTCATTCTTTTATGTCTTGTAGGTCTTACACTTTGTATGAGACTTGTGTTTGGTACTACCTGGCTAGGCTGAGCCGCTACGCAAAGCCCTGGAGGCACCACATGCTCCTGGCTTGTACTGGTATATGAATTTGCGTATATGACATACATACATATGTACATATATAATTTCGACATGCGTACCCTGAAAGGTGAAAGTATTAGTTATATATGAATTTGCATATGTATATATATATATGTATATATTTATGTATGTTTGAGAGTGAGATTCCAAAAGGACAAGAGCGTATGAGCTGTATTTCAAGAGCTTCCTTAATCCTTGAGCCTGCCCTCCAGGTCACCTGAGAGCGCAGCGGATTCATCACTTCAGAAAAAGAAGGGGAAGCTTTGTGGTTTTGCTGACTGGTTCTTCGTAGGGAATAAGTGGGAAAATAATCCCCAGATAATCTCTATATATGATACATTCCCCTATTCCCTACTAAGAACCAGTAAGTTGGTGGCTTTTGGAAGGAGCCAGCTTCCTTTGCAATCTCAAGAGCTTGAGGAAGAACTCCCCTCAGGTCTTCCGGCGTCAACTCTGGGTACCCCCCTTTGGTGCCGGGCCCAGCCATGAGCCAGCAGGCAGTGTGTGGCCCAAACCAGCTCTGCTTAGAGGGTTGCTGTTAAGGAATCGAAATTAAGTTGCTACAATGGGGATCTCTACCTATCTATCTATCTATATATCTATCTATCTGTAGATATATACCTGCATATATATATAGTAATTACTGTGGTTCCCCCGTTATAGTAACTTTAATTAGGTTCCTTTACAGCAACCCAGCTTAGGTGCTGTAGCTCTCATCTTCGCTGTAGAGGCGGTAGAAGCAGCCAAGGAAGGCCAGCGAGGATAAACCATAAAGCCTAAACCCTTGACCCTAAACCCTAAATCCTACAAAACCCTAAACCCTAAACCCTAAACAAGAGAGGTACGCTGTGGTGCCGGAAGACGATCGGAGCCCGCGCTTTGAAGGCAGCTCTGTGGGAGTGCCGTTTGTAGGAAATATAGGGATATATTATATGGGCATATACAGGGAGAGAGAAAGAGAGAGAGAGAGAGAGAGAGCCGTAGCCATTTGGCTCAAGTCTTTCCCTGCTCTCTCCGGAGGGTATTCGCTGGAGCGGCCCCCGGCCCCGGTGGAGGGTTGTCTCCGTCGGGAAAGGGGGTGGACGACCCTTTGCGAGGGAGGCTTGAGACCACCCCGCTGGCGCCGTCGGCCACTTTGTTCCAGCGCTTTTTGACTCGCGCAGGCTGCTAAACATGGCCAGAGCAATCGCTGCCCATGCCATTGCAGAACGACGACTGTTGGTGAACTGCATTCTTTAGCTTGTGGACTCCCTCGTCGAGCAGTTCACTAGACTGGTTCTGCTGGAAGACTTTGGATTCCAACTGATCTTCACGGCTTTGTGCGTCTTTTGCGCGCTGCTGGCTCCAACGTCCTAGCGTAGCCACCTCCAGTCGAAACTCACGAATCGTCTGCATCAGATACACAACGTGTTCCCAAAGCGTCTTCCCTTTCAGGATTTCCTCCAAGCCCGGGCATGCGAATTCAGAGGATCGATCACTTCTTCCAGCAGCTCCAGCAGTTCCAGCAGATTGTTTGTTCCGCACATCATTTCCGTTTACCGTGCACCAGGGGAAGGCACTCTCGCCTTGTACTTTTGTTTGCATCGTAGCGGCTGCTTAGTTCTCCGCAGTCTGTGCTGGCTTCCAATCATGCAACGCGCTATCTGATTTAATATGCTCAGTGATGTCTGAAGTAATGTGAAGGTCCTGGAAGAATCCCTGCATGGATAGCCACAACAGATGACCTAGGCCCAAAGCGTAAGTTGGAACAAGGAGAAACTTAAGCTAAGGTCACAATGGAAACCCCACAAGACTTCACTGTTTCTTGCGAAGAACGCATGGCAGAGTTGAGACAGCTCATTGTCAACCGGTCGGTCAACGTCACAAAGATGTGACTGGAAGTTACTTGATACAGAGTTTACGGAAAGAGCTGACCTGACACAAATCGAACATACTGAACACACAAAGGATACATCAGTGAGAAGTTTGACAGGTAATTCAGCATGCAGGCCTCAGAGCTGGGGAGCACACGACTCCTAGGGGAGAGGGGCCATGTACCGAAACCATACTGAACCTGCAAGTAATTTGCGATACCCGCGTCCAAGAGATTAATAACTGTCTAGGGAGCTGTGACTTTGCGGATTGAATCCTTGGACGAGGGAGGCAGGTAATTGGGAGCCAAAGATGGCAGTGCAGAACAATTAGTGCAGTGATCTGAGACTCGAGACGAATGGCATGCAGTTGGTTGTATGCTCATGGAGCTAGGGTTTGGGTTCCCAAACTGTTGCGTAATCATCATGTCGTTATAGGGGCCTCTTCTGGATGACATGCCATTGGATGCAAAGCAATCATGCACAGTCCCTTTTGATCGGAGCACACGGGGGAGGCCACAAAACCTAGTTCAAGCCACTGGGCAAGACAAAAGAAAAATCAAGAGCCTCGAAAGAAGAACTGAGCATCTTCCCCTCCGGGGCTGGGGGGTAAGGTGTTGCTGTGCATTATCTTACTGTGGTGGCCGAACCCAAGAAGTGTGCAATAGCCAACTAATCCTGCCATGCAGATTTCTCGGAGTGCGGGCAACTGACGCCAGCCATGTGGGGCATGGGTTCTGTTGTGGATGCAGGATGGTGTCTTGCTAGTCTGTTTGTTGCAGTTATGCCTGCCCTGACAAGCTGGGGCCTGGTGTCCGTAGGTTGGGGTGCACAGCCCGTACTTGTGCCAGTAGCGCTCAAGATCGGGGGCCCTGAAATGCCATCAGTGTCACAGCTGACGCAGTAGCGGTGAGGTGCATCTGGGGGTTGCAAGGGAGTATGTATGGTGAATATTAAAAACTACGCGTGGCTGATCGTGTAACCCAGTTGTCTGCGTGGCCTCTAAATGCTCGGCAACCGGGTCCTGTGGCAGTTCGGACCAGCGCGGACCTTCATCCTGCTTGGGGCATTGCCCCAGCCCCCTCTTCCGGGAGGGGGTAGAGCAGTGAGAAGAAGAAGAAGAGATGTATATAGCAGCTGTGAGAAGAAGAAGAGAGAGAGAGAGAGAGAGATATATATATACCGTAACCATTTTGGCTGAAGCCATTTTGGCTCAAGTGAACGGCGCGGCCCCACACAGGGATAAAGGTCACCGGTGAGATCCTATGTGTTGAGTGGGGACGATTTTTTTCGGAGGAGCGGGAGTGAAATAAGCCCCCTCTGCGTGGAAGCTGGAAACTCGGTTTTGAACAGTTGGATAGGGAAGGGAGCTCTCATCCTTAAGTGGTTTGCTGTTTCTTTCTTCGGCTTAGGGGTCGGTGTGAGTTGAAGTTGGGAGACTTGTCATGACCTTTGGAGAAGTGAAGTTTCGGACGTTACGGTATCGCCATGGCTGCGCTCGACACACCACTGCAATTGGGAACCGGACAGGATCGACGTACAAACGATGGTGTCTTGGAAAGAAGAGCAGAAGATACACAACCAGCGAAGGAAGCAATGAGGAAGCGAGGATCGTCCAGTCCTTCGGGAAGAAAATCAGAGGATACACAACCTGCAGAGGAACCGATGAGGAAGCGAGGATCGTCCAGTCCTTCGGGAAGAGACAGGCCCATGACTTCGGGACAAGCAGCACCAGCGCAGGAAGAAGATGAAGTTTGCTGGCCGTGCAAATCTGGGGGCCGCATCAAGACCTCGCACACATATCGAAAGGGAAGTGACAAATACATACACGGTGCAACAAAGGAAGAAATGGTTCAGGCAGCAAGAGGAGGAAATGCAGGACGCAGTCGACTACTGGAAAAGCTGAAACGGAATGTGGATCCTGCTGAAGATCATCGACAGCCCCAGGTCAACCAAACAAAAGGAAGAAGGAAGACAGGGAACAGCGAACCTCTTCCCCCGGACCAGGGCACAGACTGCAGTTGAAGAAGCCAAGTCAACCGCAAATGCCAAAGGTGGAAACAGGAAAAAGCAAACTGAAGAGACACCGGCGGACACTGTGGATGGGGAGTCCAGCCCAGATATGGTCGATGTGATATTGGGAAAGGTGACTGAGGAGCAGCATGTGAGACAACGATGTCAGAAAAGTGCGCTCGCGTTGCGTTGGTCTTCTTCGCCGTCGTGTTCTTCTGTTGTACTCCCATCTTCCACTGGAGTTTCTTCTCCTGGAATCAGTGGTGTCAGCGGGCTAATCTCCTTCTGTTCCACCGGCACTGTGACTTGTGCCTGCGGCTGTTCCTTGTTCCCTGCTCCAGTTGCATTTTGCGTCACCATCGCTTCCGCTGTCTTTGGCTCATTTCTTTCCTCCAGCTCTTGCTTCTCTTTGATATACTTCTTCTGCGCCTTTTCCCATGCTTCCCATGCTGGCCTTTGCTCTCGTCTCTTGTTCTCCTCAATGCATTGACGTAACAAGGCTTCTGAAACTTTTGCCGAGGGAGGTGGCGGCACTCTGGGCTTCGTCGGCTGCTGTGATGCCGTTTCCTTTTCACTTGGGGGAAAAGTTCCGCGGGAAGAAGACACAAAGGCGTGGCACAAAAACACAAAGCCCGCTGAGCCGCCAGCACCGAAGCAGAAAGCCAAGGAACCGTCAGGCAAGGACTACCAGACGAAGCTGGATCAGCTGACGTACCTCACGCTGTGGATGAGGCAAAGCACCGAGACAAGAAAGGAATGGGATAAGGCTGAGCCCAATGAGGAGCAAGACATTGTCATACGTGCTGGCAAAATTCAGGAGTTGGATGTGCAACTGGGAGAAGGTGCAACAGTTTCATGCATAAAGGACCAACTGGTTGCATGGGGAGAGCGTGAGCCTGAACAGACGGGGACTGAAGAGACAGCGCCGGACACGCAGCAGCTGAGCAAGCCGAGAACATAAAAGTGCAAGGACGGGAAGGTTTGCAATACTGGTACCACACTGACGCAACGGAAGGAGACATGATTGACAGGGACAGCGTTACAACTGATACAAAGAGATAAGTGAAACATTTTGAACGGAGTAGAGAGAATTCGGCATGCACGCTGGTGAATAGGGGACAATAGATCCACTAGGAGACCAGTTTCCGAACCATACCGAGACAATGCAATTTGTAACCGCGCTGAGCCAGGGGAGAGATTTGTGTGTGGCGTTTATTGAAGCGCTGTCCTGACCCTCTACGTTTAGGATATTACCATGCTGGCTTCAGTGAAGGACAAGAAATTAACAACCGAAGACGGGAAATGCAAGTAGATTGCATCAACTCAAAGGAAGAGGTAGTTGAGATGAAGAACCGCAATGAACAGACAGTGGGAAATGTAGCAGTGTATAAAGGAATCAAATGGAACGTAAAGGGAATGGTGACTAGGAGAGTCGTCCGCGCAGTGAGCAATGAGAAGCAGGGAAGAGTGATGCTTATGTTTTACGGAGTTTGAGTGGGAGTCTTTTGGGGGATAAGCCATGATCACTCTTCAACCTTACCTCGGCTCACGAACCAGCTTTAGGCTGTTTTTCCAGCAAGTAGCCCCGACGAGGGGACGTGCGCCGGAAGGGGGGGGGAGAAGAAGACGGGGGATAATGGGTTATGGCTTTCTATCCCATCTGAGATGAAGCAGAGCATTGTTCCGCCGCGCTCAAGCTTAATGTGGCAGGCTGTAGTGCCCGAAGTCCTTAGGGAACTCCGCTTTTGGAGCAGTAGCTCGCCTGCCATTGGAGCCTCCTCCTTGATTTTGGTCGGAAGGACGTGGCGGATGCAACTCGTCTGGCCGCCGCCTCAGAGTTGGGCATCGATCCAGCTGCAGCGCCACCTGGGCTCATGAGAATGTACGTGGAACGCCAGATCCCGCTTGCGGACCATCGCCTCCTGACTCTGTTTGCCCACTACCTTGCACACGCTTGGGAAGCTGCCAGGTTGATGGAGAACAAGGAGATGGAGGGATGGCTCGCTCGAGGCCTGATGATGACAGAACAAATGGCGTTAGACAGCGGCCGCTCGACTTTTGGATGGCTTTTGGCCGGCCTTCCCGAGCCCAACTTCGGGGTGCTCATAAAACGCAAGTCGGGCTTGAAGCCCTAATTCCGGCTCGCATCCGGGAGCTGGGTCGCTGCCAACCTGGCGTTTATGAAGGACATGGACACCCTGGAAACGAGGCTCCGGACGGTCAATGCTGGAAATCACGCTCCTCCTCCTGCTGTTCCCGATCCAGAGGTCGAGCCTGAGATTTCAAAAAGGCGCCGGCCCCCACGAAAGCCGAAAGCTGCAGCCAAGGACGGCCCAAAGGAAGCCGCCGCGTGAGCGCCACGAACCATGCATGTTTGCAATCCAGAGCGAAGCTCGGCTTGCGCAGTCGCTCGGCCAGCGGCTCAAATTCAACCTTTGTTCAGCCGGCTGCTGCTTCCAGCGTGCGGGATTCGGATGTTCACATACCCTCTTCCCCTTTGGATTTCCCAGCCTGGTTACTTAGTTTTTTAGGGGTTCTTAAGGGTTCTCGTAACGGACTTAACGGGTTCATCGCCAGTTCCTTTAGACCCAGTGCCTGCACCGCGCAGCCGCTCTCGAGGGGTGGCGATCTTTGGCCATGTCCCCCACCCAAGCGGTGGATTGGTTGGACGGGCTCATGCAATCTGTCTCCTAGGCGGCGCTCCCAACACAGGGCTTTTAAAGCGGCGCACGAACTCCTTAGGCATGCTGTAGCTACACTTAATTGGTTGGCTTTAGGTTCCCCTAAGGTTTGCCCGCCACATGCTTGTGCAGGAGCGCCCCTGTCTTCAGCTCAGAATGAGATGTTGTGCGGCCTCGAGCGGCTCTTTCGCCATTTTGTCTCGGCTGATCCCATCTCCGCGTCATCTCTGGGCCGATGCGAGTCAAAATTCGTTTCTCTTTTGCATACAGTTCAGCAGTTGCCTTCCGATACTGAAGTTGGTGTACTGCTGCATGAGCTTTCTGCACAATGGCTTCCATATGAACGCAACCGACCCAAGCCTCCTGCCCCCTCGCCTGAACCCATGACCAAACCTTGTACTGTGAAGCTGCCTGCAGGGAACCTTTGTCTTCCGGTTGTGGCCGAACGGATTAAGTGGAAGCTGTCACCTTCTTTTGATCCAACACCGTTTTTGAGCGACCCTGTTGTTCGATCGGTTTTCCTTAGGCCCGACACCCTTAGGGTTGCCCCCGGTTCTAGACCCGAGCTCCCCGCTTCTCAGGTTCGTTGCACTAGATCCGAGCTGCTTGCGTTAGCTTCTAAGTGGGGCCGTTGCAATGCCTTCTAAGTGGGACCGTTGCAATGCCTTGCAGCTCATACCTTGTGCTGAGGTCAAGGATTCAGAAGCTTGTGGAATCTTTTGTGTACCCAAAAGTTCTGAGTTCGATCGTTTGATTTTGAATCCGAGCGCCATTAATGCTCAAATGATCAAGTGCAGCAACTTCACCAAATTCCTGACCCCAGGTTCGATTTTGTGCTTGGCTCATTTGCAGCCCAACGAGGCCTTCAGATTTTCTGCAGATGATCTTTCGGAATTCTATTATACCTTTAAGATTCCTTATGAGAGAGCTAGAAGAAATGCCATCCGCATGGTTTTTCAGCCGTTTGAGGTTTCTCATTTTTCAGTGTATGACCCCCGTAAGCACAATACCCCGGTATACCTCTCTTTGAATGCACTCGCAATGGGAGATCTGCACGCTGTGGAGATCGCGCAACAGAGTCATTTCAACCTCCTTTCGTTTTCCGCCCATTCACTTCTGAGCTGTGAGTTCGCTTGCTTCCGGCGCCCCGCCCCGAGGGCTCCCACTTGGGAAATGCTTGCCATCGACGATCACCTGGTTGCCCAAAAGATCCCACTTGAGGAAACCTTGGCCAGCTCGCGACTCAGTCATTTTTGAAAAGGCGGAGGCCGCCTACAGCGCGGCAGGACTTCACCAGCATCCCGACAAAAGGCAACGTGGAGTTTCTGCCGGCCAGTTCTTAGGGGCCGAGGTTGATGGGGTGTTAGGGCTAGTGTCTGCTCCTAGGCATCGGGTGGGCATCCTCATGTTGCTCACGGCCATTGTCACGATGCGTGGCCATTGCACTCCTGCCGTCCTCTGTTGCCTGACTGGTCTTTGGGTTCACGTTTTGATGTTCAGGCGACCTGGCCTTGCACTCATGAATGCAGTGTTCCAAGACTCGCAGCTTCGCCCGCTCGATAAGGTGATCCGCCTTTCTCGTGATAGCATTAACGAACTGCAATCACTTTTGTGGCTGGCTCCCTTGTTTGTTTCGGACCTCCGTTGCTCTTGCGTGCCATCGCTTTTCGCGCTTGACGCTTCACCTTTTGCGTCCGGCATGGTTTCAGCGCCACTGGCTGAGAGCATTGTGGCCGAACTGTGGCGTCACGGGGAACAACGGGGGTACTACACTCGTTTGGAAAGCCCCGCTACCGCCACTTTGCGAGAACTTGGACTGGAAACTGAGGCTGCTTTCGGCGCGGCCCCTGTTGATCATCCTTCGCTGGATGTTCCTGTGCCTGCTTCGCTGCGCGAAGGTTTCCTGTTCGATTGTGTCGAGCTGTTCAGCGGTGAGACTCACTGGACCGATGCTCACGCTCGCGCTGGTTTACACTGCCATGCTGGGTTCGACACCTCCCATCCTCGCAGGCGGTTCTCGGACCTTAGCGATCGAGCCGTGTTTTCTGAAGTGCTGGCGCTTGCCGCCCGCAGAGTGGTTCGTGAGTGGCGCTGCGGTCCTCCGTGTCTGACTTTCGGCACGCTTAGGCGCCCTCGCATTCGGTCAAAACTGTACCCGTCTGGTTTCAACCCTGATGACCCTCTGACGGCCCTGCGCAATCTGCTCGCCCGACGTGTTGCTTTTCTGTGCTGCATTATTGCCCTCACCGGGCAATTCTTCAGCATCGAACAGCCCGGTAGCAGCGTCATGTTTTACATGCATTGTTTTAGGGTTCTTCTAGGTTTAGGGGCTGTAATCACTCGGCTTGCCTGCTGCAACTTCGGTTCGGCTTTCAACAAACCCATGCAATGGCTTCACAACAAGCCCTGGTTGCTTCCCCTTTCGGGCCCTTGCGCTTGTCCTTACAAAGGCCGCCGCTTGGTTGTCCAAGGTTCCTTCACTCATGCTGCCCTCGCCTCGTTCGAAGCCCGCTGTCGCCCATCCTCCTTAGTGGTTTATGGCCGTAGTCCTAGACCTGGTGAACCCCTTGCACGGTTTAGTGGTTCCTACCCCATCCCCCTTATGGATAGGATGGCGGCCGGCAGCCTGCAGCACAAAAACGGCATTCAGCAATCCATCCCGCTCTCTGCGCGGCTCAGTTCTCTCGAGGAGGTCGACTCTGAGCTCGCCCTTGAGCTTCCCCCAGGTTTCGATGAGATTACAGCTGATAGCCGCGAGTTCTTTGATGATCCTGAGTGGATTGGCGAGCTCGCCGATTCACTGCCCTTCAAAGAGCTGCTTCGTTATCGCTTCTCCCGACCCGGGCACATAAATGTGTTGGAAACCAGGACCTTCAAATCCTGGCTCAAGTGGTGCGCCAAGCGCCATCCGAACTCCCGCATGTTGGCGCTCATGGACTCGCGTGTGTTGCTCGGTGCCTCGAGCAAAGGCCGTTCTTCAAGTCCTGCCCTTTCCAGGGTTCTTCGCAGTTCGGTGCCTTACATCCTGGGCGGCAGGTTGTACCCTGCCGGCCTTCATGTGTACTCCGCCAAAAACCGCAGTGACGGCCCTCCCGCTGGACTTCCGTCCCAGGGCCTTCCAAGGCTGAGCCGCTTTGGCTCTCGGACCTTCGCAAAGGCGACACCTACCGTTTTGATGTCATGGTTACTTTCTTCAGAGCCCCTAAGCTCGCGGCTCGTTGGCTGCGTCTGTTGTTGCTGCTGGGAGGCGACATTGAACCTCACCCTGGCCCTTTCCACTCCGGCTTGCCTCGTGGCCCTCTCGACTTAGAGTCCGGCTTCGCTTTGTCCACTCGGCAAAAGATGACTAAAGCGTTTGAGGCCTTCAGGGTTTGGGTTACTGTTTCAATGGCGCTTAATCTTACTGAGGTGTTGTCTTGCAGCCGGTCCGCCGCTCTTGCGCTACGTGGTTTTGGCTTGCACCTCTATGAGGCCGGCTTGCCTAGGTACCTCCTAGTTTACGCCATCACTGCCGTTCAGGATTCTCATCCTCACTTGCGCAATCAGCTCACCCCCGCCTGGCAAATTGACAAAAAATGGCAGCAAGCCGAGCCCGGCGAATGCCGTCCTGTCATTTCCAAGCCCGTGCTGCTTGCCGCTGTGAGCGTTGCCATTTTGTGGAACTGGCACGACTGGGCTGCCATAACTCTCATTGGTTTCCTGTGTATGCTGCATCCTTCTGAGTTCATCGCCCTCACGCGTGGTGACCTCATCCTTCCTTCCGATGCCCTTTCTTCTGATCGGGTCGCCTATGTGTACATTCGCAATCCCAAGACGGCTCGCTTCGCCCGCCGGCAGCACTGCCGTTTGGAGGACAGCCTCACTCTGTCCTTCCTTGAAGCTTTGTTCACTCACGTGCCCTTGGATCAGAAGTTGTTCCGGGCCTCCATGTCTGCATACCGCAATGAATGGAATGCTGTTATGGCGCGCCTTGAAGTGCCTCACACCCTGGCTCAGCGTGGTGCAACCCCAGGCGTGCTCCGTGGGAGCGGGGCCACTTTCTTGTATTTGGAAGCGGAAGACCTGCCTCTCGTGGCCTGGCGAGGCCGTTGGGCCCGCACCAAAACCGTGGAGTTTTACCTTCAGGAAGTCGCCGCTCAGCTTCTGCTTCACAGGCTCTCCGAAAGTGCTCGGTCCCGTATCCAAATCTTGCAGAAATATGCCCAGCGCCTGGTGCTCACTACAATCTCTTCTTGTGCCGCTTCGCGGCAAGGCAAATGAAGTTGGAAGGGTTGGGTTCTCGGCTTAGGTCCTTATCCCTTTGGGTTTCCCGCACTCGATCCCCTAGGTTTATCGGCCGAATAGTTAGTCCCTAACCCCTAGGGGTGCCCGCCTCCCTCACCTGTGTTCCCCGGCCAAGGTGTCGGCGGCCCGCACCCGACTTCTGAACCTTGCAGACGCGCAGGCGAAAGAGTGGGATGCACTTAACGTTCCGGTGAACATGTGAACCTCCTCGCTGCCAGCGAACCATGCGGGGCTCGAGGCTGTGCCTTGGTCCACTCGTAAGGGGTGGGCATAGCCCGAAGAAGAAGAGAGAGAGATATATATGTATATAGTATATATATTAGGGATATATATATATGTATATTAATACATCGGGAAATACACGGATATATAGGGATGTGTAAGGATCTATAGGGTCTAGCAGCTAGGGGTATTACCCCCATCATGGAGGATCAAATGGACAAGAAAATGGAACATGACATGGAAACTGGGGTTGTAGCTTTACTGGATTCTAGGGGGTGATGGGCGAGATCGTTCCGAGGCCTGCATGGGTGTGGCTACAGCGTGCTTCTGCACCGTGGGCCTCGCACAAGTGCTGCGGCCTTTTTGCCTTTCCTGTTGGTGGCAAGGATTATAATATGCTTCAATATACTTTAGTACACTATAGTAACCGAGAGTATAGTACAGTATACTATAATATACTATGGCTGCTGAGGTTTGGCGACACGCCGACGGTGATGTTCGCAAGCCCAGGAATTGAAGAGGCAAGCCTCCCAAGAGGACAATGCGCTGCATGTTGCGTCCGAGGCGCAGCGTTGTGATGTTTGCAGCTGCATATTCGATGGCCGTGGGCCCAATGCTGTCCTTTACATTAGCCATAATCTAAACTCCTTAAAGTGGATAGATATATATATATATGTATACATATATATATATATACGGGAATATCTAGGGGACTACTATAAAGGCTATTAAGGGAGATATTACTGTAGGAGTTTAGATTATGGCTCACATTGGCACGACGAAGTAGCCTTGTGCCGAGACCCTGAACCCTAGCGCCGGCTTCTTCCCGCCTGCCGGTGCTCTTTGCGCGTTGTACGTGGAGAAGGCCTCGGGCCCAAAAACACCCCTAAATACCTTATGTAATCCTACATAAAACCCGAACCTTATATATATACATATATATAACCTTATATATAACTGCATATATAGGGTTATATATAGGATTATACATAATCCTCTATATATATATGAGCCTATATATATATATATCTATCAAAATATTCCCTACGTCCCTACATGCTTAGGCTGTCACCAAAGGGGTCCTCCCTGGCTTTGAGTATGCCCTGTTCCCGTGTGCCCTCGGTGTTGGGCTGCTGCTTGCGCCTCAGATCAGGGACTCAACACCTGTAATCCCTAAACATGCCTAGCCAAGCCTTGAGGCTTTAGGGGTTTGCGGTATGGGGTTTAGGGTTTAGGGTTTAGGATCTAGGGCTCAGCCAAGCCCAGTTCATCCTGGAGATCCTAAACCATCAGAAATCAGGCTTCTTTTGACGCGGCTGTTCACGTTCCTGCTGTCGCGGCCACTTTGGGCACTGAGATCTTCCAGGAAGGGGTTGCTTGCAACTTTACTTGCTGGGGCTTAGTAGGGAATACGGGACCATAGCCATAGCATATAGGATTATATTTTCTTCTTCCCTACTGAGAACCTGTAGATTTAGGTCAGCTCATATTATTACTGCTTTTGAGGACTTCCCAGGAAGGGTCCCAGATCGTTTTGGAGGAGGCCCCCAACAATTTTTCTGGCAGGCTGGGCCAAGACGAGAAGGTGCCGGGACCTTGGACCCAAGGAAGACCGAGGGAGGAGCTGACCCCAACCTGGGCGAAGAGTCAGAATCCAGAGTCCCTTCTAACCCTAAGCCCTAAAACCTACTAACCCAAAAACCCTACTAACCCAGATATGCACAGGTCAGTTCGTGCTTTGATGATGAAGTATCAAAGCAACTGTTGTTACGTGTAAGCTCGATTATTTCGGAGTATATAGTGCCTAGATCCCCAAAACCCTAAAGCTCTTCACCCTGGATCCCTAGATCACAACCAAGCCTGAGGTCCATGGCATGATCCGCCAACGGCGTCTCGGGCTCTTTGGAGCCAGTTTTATATGGGAGGCTTCTCAAAACGATGGGCCTCTAACTCTTGGGTGGTATATGGGTGTACAAGATGCACCTAGTTTCGAGAAGTACGCGCATCTTTAAGTGCGGCGCCCAAGTGCTGCAAAATCCCGCAGTCGATGGCAAAGCCACCGATGCTGCCGGGCATTGGAAGACCGAGCAGTGCTTTTCCTGGTGCGCTGGTGTGTGGTCTGTTCTCTCCCGGCTGTAGTGTTGTCATCATTTGTTCAGAGTGTGATATCATCGAGAGTCCCCAGTTCCGAGTTAGACAAAAAAAAAGCCATGCTGAGAAAGAGACAGAAGCGCCCCAGCCTGAGCCATCCCATCCCACGTATATTAGCGGCTTGCTGCTCCATAGCCCCTACTTTTTTACACCCTAAACCCTAAACCGCATACAACCTACGACTTCTTTCAGCTCTTGTGGCTCAGCCTTTAGGGGTTTGCGCCCAGAGATGTGGGCAACATGATTCCAGCCCGCAGCACTGGCCCCAGTTTGCGAGATGCTCCTCCCACTCCACAGGATTTCCCAAGCCTTAGTGGTCCTTCATCATCTGAAAAGTCTGCAACAGGGTCTCTGTACAAGGAAACCCTACATGAAGGCTCCACAGGAGGTTGGTAGCGCAGGCTTTCACAGCAAAGCACCCCAAGAGCAATTCTCGCATCCGAGATCCTGTCTCCTCGGTAGGCGGGCTAAGTGCATGCACAGCATGCTTAGATTTTCGTAGGCAAAAAGGATGAACGAAAGGTTGCAGCGCATCTGCCCAGAGGGCCCAATACCCTTTAATTGAGGAGTATACCTTACATGGTACGAGGGTTCCTAATACGTGCTCCTTGGGTGGTTAAGGCTCCCTGCGGCATGGCGATGGGCACGACCTGAAGAATGGGCTCAGGCCGGCTCCCATTAAGTTTAGGGAGAGGTTTAGGGGTTTACGGGTTAGGGGTTTAGGGGTTTAGGGGTTTGAGAGGTTGGGGGTTTTGTGCTTTAGGTTTGAGGGGCTGAGGTCCAGTTTGCCGTTATCATATTCATTGCCACTATCGTTAACCTTCCGAATCGCAAGTAGTTGTTCATTCTAATGTGCTATGACCCCTGTACAGCCCTATATAATTCCCATATAACCCCTACGGCAAACCTAGACCCTAAACCCTACACAACCGTAGAAAACCCCAAAAAATCCTAGCTCAATTCCTCTGAGCCTTCGAAGGAAATCTGCTGTGGGCCTGGACTTGGGGTCTCGCACTCAGAGAGATTGCTCAGGGGCAAAAATCCCATATAGGGCTTCTATAGGGATTCTATAGTCTATAGGATTATCACGGGTTATATAGGGTTGTATGGCGTTTGTAGGGAACATATGGAATGTTATAGGGTGTATATGGGGTTATGTAGGTATGTTTGGGGTTCACAGGGTAGAATGGAAAAGAAATTGGAAAGCGCCAGTGATCACTAGAAGTTTGGTGGTAGTTCTTGCTAGTAGAAGCATGCCAGGCGGCGGCTGCTGGTGGTCCTCAAGAACTCGCCAGCAGCTAAGAGCAACGGGCGCTTCTCGAGTCACGCAGGTCTTTGGATACCACTTCATACTGCTTCGCGAAAAGTGTCCTGAGCGCTTCCTCAAAAAGGGAAAGCCTATCAGCGTACTTGCAAACCAGTTACGCAAATATATACAGGGAAGCAGGAATGGAGGATTCTGCCAAGGGAGGAAGGGTGGTGTCAGGTCTAAGCCCTCGGAGGAGGCCCAGGCAATCCGGGTGGTGGATCACGGCGAGCAGCAGAAGGAGGCGCCCTTCTGACTCAATGCCGTATGCAGGGACCCAGAGAGCCCAATAGCCCTTAATTGAGGGCTATGCCCCAAATAGCTATAGTCAAAACTCCTTAAAGAGGGTTATATAGAGATTATTTTGGGGACTGTTATGGGGGATTTTTCGGGTGGAGCCAACCCAGTAATTAAGAGAGTGCGTCGGAATGCAGGCCTGTGTTTTTCAGTGAAAACAGGCGTTTTTTATGCGTTTCTAGAGGTTAAATTCACAAAGAAAAAGCATACACCCATAGTCTAAATTGTTTGCTGGCTGTCTAT